CATGCAAAGCAGAACACAGCTAAATGTATCAAAAGTATGTCTATGTAATATTAGAATTTTCTGAGACAATGAATTTTGGTTTTTCTTTTTCTTTTTTACCAGTAAGAGGTTTTTATTTAAAATAATTATTGGACAAAAAAAATCTCAATATATCGCCTTGCTTACAGTATCGCAGTATATCGAGATATATCGTATCGTGACCCCTCTGTCATGATGTGTATCGTATCGCCAAATTCTTGCCAAAACACAGCACTAGTGGCTGCCATCTTGAATGAGGTCGGCTCTGAAATTTGATCATTATTATGTGTTTGCTGGTTCCTGAGACACACCGAGTTGGACAAAAACAAATAGTCTCCACCTTCAGTGGTGGACATGAACTGTATGTTTGCTGACATGTTCTCAATGTTCAGTTTTCAATGTTTAGAAACGTTCTTTGTCTCTTCCAGCACCACCGACTGGCCTTTAAGCTTTCTTGATCACATGGATGTATTGTCCGTCAAAGTGCCGGTGTCCAGCTCTGTGTCCCCTCCCTCTGGACCTGCTCGAGACATTCTGGAGACATCTGGAGACACACGGATCCTCCTGTCTAACAGCACTGTGGGCTTCGGTGTGAGCGACACGGACACATCGTTCCAGCCTCTGCTGGGCCACGACAGCCTGATGTCTGAGAGGGACAGCCAGGCTGATCCAGACGCTTCGGACACGCCCCCCCACTCCTTCGAAATCTGCCCCCTGCGCGGGCCCAGCGACTGCACCTCCTCCTCCTTCGACATCGTGTTCGAGGACTCTGGTTGTGATCGAGATGCCGACGCCGACACAGCCTCTGAGGGCAGCGCAGCCGGTCCCACCACGCTAACGGAGAAGAACAGTCTGTCCTCCTCACCTGTCAGACGACAGGAACCCGTCGCACCATCCTCCTCCATGAATCCTGGACCAACCTCATTTACTCTGGCTATTCCAACAACTCCTCCAACCGTCCGCGTCCAGCCTTTCCCTAAGGTGCTTTTTTATGATTAAGCTTTCATCACAGCTACAAATAAATCTGAAATAGGTTTTATGTATTTTTATTTATTTTGGAAACAAAATGTTTATTTGTTAAGTTTCAAATTTTGTTAACAGTGATGTGTGGAAGWCTTCTTTATTCCACACAACGCTACCTTGACCCTTACTCTTGTCCTTCAACATCTTGAAATCTTTTGATAATAATTTGATCTGATGATGATGGGAAATTTGAAATCTTCCCATTTTTCTGTTCAGGAACATTATTCTGAAATTGTTTTATTATTTTTAGCAGAGGTCTATAAAGTACTTGAAAACAATAACTAAGTAAAAGTAAAAATACATGAACAGAAATTGACTTTGGTAAAAAAATAAATTTCACTGATGAGAAAACTACTACAAGCAAAAGTCATAAAACTGTTCACAAAAATTGGTAAAGTAAAAGTACTTTTTACACACTCTCTAAGAAATAAACTGTTGAATTTACTGAACCAAACAGGTTCCACTAAGCCAGGTTGAGTAAATTAAKCAACATATTTATATTCTTTGCTCARTTTACTCAGCTGGGCTTAGTGGAGCCATTTGACAGGATTTTGTTGAGTAAATTCAACACTTCATTTATTAGAGTGCAGAAACATCATCTTTCATGATGAGTTTGAACATAATTAATTTTGTAACGAGTACCGATAACTATGTGTTTAATTTTAAAGTACAGAAGTAAAAGTAACAT